CAGGCGCAGGCTGCAGGCTGCGGGCCCCTGGGGCACCGCAGGCGGCCCGGGTACCCTGAGCAGCCACCGGCTTAGGTTCAGAAAAGACCCAAGGCCAGGGCTAGATTAAGATAAAACTCTGTTACGGGTTTAAAAGCTTGCATTGGCCCTGGCTGGCGTGGCTCGGTGGTTGAACCTCGACCTATGAATAAGAAGGTCACGGATGGATTCTGGTCAGGACATGGGCCCGGCTGGCGGCTCGATCTCCAACAGGGGGCATGCAGGAGGCAGCCCATCAATGACTCTCTCTCCCTCTCCCTTCCTCTTTGAAATCAATACGAGAGAGTGCTATGGGGGGGGGGGGGAGGGGGGGAGTGGAGAACAAAAGGCCAATAGTACAAGTCTTTCTCCCAAGAGACTGACCTCTGTTGAGGACCACGAGACACTCTCTGAGGATCAGGGTAAGGAACTATTGCATCTCATGGCTGCTTATGCTGAATCGGAAGGGGAAGGCCAAGGTAAAATTCAAGCAGGGCAAATCTTAATTGATCGTGACGTGTTCCTCCTGCCATGATCCTCTGATGGCTTACAGGAAGGGAGCTTCATTTGGCACCTGCTTAAGCCAGCTGAACATGCATTTCCAATGAGAGCTTGTTTACAAAGCTCTTTCAGATGCATTCTCATATGCATTCTATTAGCTGGTCCCTCTTAGAAACTCTCGCGGGATTCTGAGATGCCAATCTCTCCGGATTTTGTTTCCAGTTCCTTGACTTTTTAGTCTGCGATTCTTTCCCACTATGCACACATCATCTATTTCAGAGGTTCTCAACCTGTGGGTCGCGACCCCTTTGGCGGTCAAACGACCCTTTGACAGGGGTCGCCTAAGACCATCCTGTATATCAGATATTTACATTACGATTCATAACTAGCAACATTACAGTTATGAAGTAGCAACGAAAATAATTTTATGGTTGGGTCACAACATGAAGAACTGTATTTAAAGGGCCAGAAGGTTGAGAACCACTGCTAGTGCGTCCACTTTGTGTGCAGATGGTTGCTATTTATTCTCCAGTCCTGACCACTCTCTCCATCTTTATATTCATATCCAGCTGA